CTGCTTTGTTTAAAATGCTCATTTTGGAAAAAAAAGTATAAAAATTGTGTATGTTCTCTCTCAAGATAGTTGCATCCTCTGTATATTCCAATGCAATTAATGCCTCTTCTAGTGACAAGAGTATGTAAGGTTGTACTTCTACTACTTTTATAGAACTAACAGGCAAGAGATTATGAGCTTGATGTTCATCCTTCCTATGGAATAACTGATGATTTATAAGCAAACCATTTCCTGTCCAATATTCTTGAAGGAATGGGGGCTGTACTCCTGTAAAAGTAAGGACAGTGTTTGTTTGAAGGTGAAATTAAAGGAGAATAGAACTTGTCTCTCATATGAGTAATAATGGATATAATTAAGATGAACCTTTTAAGTGCAAATTGGACTTTTTTTGCTGCAGGAAATCATTAAAAGAAGGCAAATATGATCAAACTAGGTTCTCCTGGATTCTTCCTAAACCTAACAAAGTTTGTGCAGGAGGTGGTAGTCCTTTATTGTGTTTCTCTTACCTGCAGATTCTAGAGAAAGCAAGTATTGAGCTATACATATGAAAAATCTGAGAAAAAGAAGCTTGAATGATCATTATTTATCCTGATACACGATTTGTAAATTTATACCACTCTGTTTTAAAGAAGCTGTAAACAGCAGGGAGCACATTAGAGCCTAAAACTAGATTTATAGCTTGTGCAAAGTGCAGCAGAGCAGTATTACCTGAAAATCATGATGGAGATGAGAAGTAATGAGGAAAATGAGCTCTTGCTCTCAAAGGCTCCAGGAACCATTTACCAATAGACTCTGGAAAAATACTGTTTTCAGAACTCTGCACAGCGGGTCAGCCTTTGGTAGGCTGTAAAGGTTAATTAGTCATGGATTAAAATATATCTTATACAAGAAAACGAGTAAGGACGATACTTAGTGTTAATTATAACCCTAATAATTAATTTCTAAATAATTTTGTAACTGTTTCATCACTGTAAATCATTATTTTTAAGTAAACACATTCATTTATCTTGTAGTCTTGTCTAACGACAAAAATCAATGCTCTATTCTGACATTCGCCAGGCCACAGCATTCCCTTGGGCACTGAGTATCTGTTCACCAAAACAAATCTGGCAGATTTCTAGGTTATTTACCATGCAATGAGAAAGACAACTTTCCAGTATTTTTGATTAATTCGCCACTAAGCTCCAGCTCCTTTTGTAGCTGGATGAAACAAACTATTGCGGAGTAGAGATATCTTTTTCTGTGAATGGCAGGTGAAGCCTTTAACAAAACACATGACAGTGGACACAGAGCTCGAAGATTTTGGTGTGTCTTTAAAAGATGAAGAGCCTTGCTGTAACAATCCTGTATTCTGAAAAGCAAATTATTTCATGATCTTAAAATGGCAAATGTGTGTAATTGTTTTACACAAATGGAGAGAGAAAAAGAATTCAAGTTATTTCAGATTTATTTCTTTGAATTTTTTCCTTTTGTAGCTGTTTATTTTCAGTTTATAGTTTCTACTGTGTCTCAGCCCCAGAATACATACCTCTCCATCTTTCTAGACTAACTGTTGTTTTCACTGTCATACTATAAATATATTATTTGCGAAACAAAGCCATTGTGATTCACAGGGATTTCATGCAAATGTTTTTCCCAGTTTCAGGGAGTTCATATCTTGACTTTGTCTTTGAATTTCAACTTCAAAGGAACCTAAAACTGCGATCTGAAATTAAGTCAAGACTGCAAAGCCTTGCCTTGTTTCAGGTCAAAGGCTCAGGAAAGTGTTGAATTGCCTGACCAAAGCAAAATCAATTCACTGAAAAAAACCCTTCAGTAACACAGAATTATCTTGTTCCTTTAAGTTCATCGAAACTCAAACTCATTAAAATCATCACCTATGGAGTTACAATCCCCACTAACATAGTCTTGACTCCAACCTCTTTGGGAAATGCCGTTATACCCACCGCATAAACATGCATTGAAACAAGAAGTGTATCTTCTACTGTAGTGTATAACAGCATTTGTTTTGTAAAATAATCTTATATTGCCTTCCAATCTAGACAATTCTATGATTTGAGTAAAATGGTACTGAAAAAGTGCTATCTGCACTTAAACACTTTCCTGCTCCACAGAATCATGACATCTGCTATATTTTACAGCATTTCGTACAACCCACAATGCTGTTTAAAATTGCTTTCAGCTATTTTTATACCACACACGAGTTATCATTCCAACTTGCCTCCTCCCTCAGCATCTCTTTCTGCACTGCTATTTCCACAAACATCAGAACTCAAAAGCAAAAGGCAGCACAACAAGCGTGTGCAAAAACACACGCACAAGTAGGAAAGGACAGATATGGTCAGTATCATCATAGCAGAGCTGAGGCCCCAGACCTCTGGACAGTATAACCACAACCTTTGGCAAGCTTCAACAAATTCCCTCATTATTTGCAGCTATACCTCATGCCTAGAACATATTCTTGTAAATACCGACAGCTATTGCTTCCTCAATAAAGGCAGGGTTAAGGTTGTCTCAGCCTATAGCTTGATGCTGTAATTTTTGGTTTTCACTCCTTTTTGTGCCATTAAATTCTATACTCTAGAAAGCCATAAGACTTGACATATTCTGACAGGATATCTATCAAGTGAATAACTTTCTGCTCACCCTCATTTTGTAAGAAAGAAGACTTCTAAAAGCATAGCAACACGAATAGTAAAAAATAAAATTACGTTTTTAAGCACAAAAATGAAGCTAAACAAAAGCTTAGCCATCTAACTTAGAAACTTTGCCTGAATTAAAAAAGTAAAGGTTCTTGAATAATATGTCTCTAAATGACCTGGACAGCTGTAATCCCATACACTTTATCCATTCCATAGCTAAAGATGGGACAATGTACTCCAAATCCATCCCTCTTTTTATACTGCCGTCCAGCATTGCCTTTTACTTGCCTTATTGGACTGTTTTGTCCATAAAAGGTAGGTGAAAATCCTATTAGGAGAAATGTTCACAGCTCCTTGGACTATTATTTCTTTCCTTTGTAATAAATGTGATTTCAGTAAAGTGATGCCATCCATTTGTCCTTGCTACTTCTCTTTGGGACTCAAGAAGAAAGCTAAACTATGTTAGCTAATACGTTAAAAGCTTGTCTGCACACCCACAAAGGAGCACAGACAGACAATGGCAGGACGGGGAGCCCAAAGAAGACCCTGCCGGGCCATCCAGTGTCTAGGCATCAGCAACTGTGGAGTCTGGGATCCAGGGCCAGCAACTGAGCTGGCTGAGTGCCTCAGCTGAGCCGCTGGAGGGATCCACCACCCACACGGACATTCACTGTTCTCACTAGTGGATATGCATCCTCCGCCCAGCCAGAGACGGGAGTAGGATGAGGCTGTTGGTGCTGTGTTCATGCACATGCTCTGTCTCTGACATGCAGGTCCAGCTATATATATATGTGTATGTGGTGTATATGGGCTCTGTGGGCACATGCCTACCGGGAATACGTTTACAGCCTCACTACTGGTTGGACCTGGGGGCATGCAGCAGCCTCACCTCTGGCAGGCTGTTGGATCCAAAATGATAGTTTCCTCTAACTGACTATACTTATTTTCAGAGGCTCACTAGATAAAATATACTTACTTAACTGAGCCTCCATTTCTGCAGTTAAATATCTTAACAGCCTCTCACATGCATAAGAATCGTATTTTCCAAGTGGCTGTAAGAGATTAGCCAAAGCTCTAAAAATATAGGAAATTTTTTCATTTGTTTCACTGAAATATTCACTGTAAATTCCATATTTTCCTTCCCAAGATTAGATGCAACCACGCCACCACTATGCACATTCACTCTTCATGGAAAAAGGGCTGCCCAGGAAACTTCTCCTCCAAACATTGGTACTTCAACTATCTCTCTTTAAATTACATTCATTTGCCATTTAACTCTTTCAGTTTTATCAGTTCAATAGCTTTGTCGTTCAATACATATATATGTATTAATAGTTATTATAGAAAATACATTCCCTCTTACATTGATAAAATGTTTAAAAAAAGAATAGTTTTTTGTTGAAATCCAGACAACTGTGAATTGTCAAAATTTTCTGATTGTTTTGGGTTGTCTTGGTTAAAAATGAAAGAATTCTGCAATTATCTTCATAAAACTTTACACAGCTGTAGGTAAGGTAAATAACAAATTAATATAATTTTATGTCTATAAAACTTGGCTTCAATTTTAACTCTTCACCTGCTCAGAAGCATTTTTACACTCTCCTCAATATTAAGAGGTTGTTTGCTAAAGAAAAAAGGGAGAAAAGTAAGGACTGAGGCTTTTCTTCTCCAGCTACACTGTTGCTGGAGAGTGGAAAGAATGCAAAAGAAAAAGTGGAACAGCAAAAACCAAAATTATAGCAGAACATATATTTATTGTTCGAAATATTATCTAAATGTGATAAATTTTCTGAAACTTTTCTGCATCTTCTAGATATTTTAGAATACACTTTGCAGATGAAAATCCCACTTTTAGCATATGAGAGAGGGAACAGAAGACACGTGCCGCTGACTCAGCACACATTGTTCAGAACCTATAAAAAGAGCAACAGTACCTTTCTCTCTCCTTTCTGTGCTTTAATAACGTAGGGCACGCGGAGTTCCTAGGAAGTATTCTTATTTGAGAAGCTCATAACAACAGAGTAAATAATTTGATTTTAGAATCGCCAATAATCAGTATATAAACACATTTCAGGATTAGCAACCTGAACCAACAGCTCTCTAGTAAAGGTCAGCAGCTCTCCCCAACAGCCCAAGGCAGATTCACTGTGTCCACCTGAAACTCAAGGGTGCAATTTCTGAGAATGTGTTTGCTCGGTACACCCAACTAAGACAGCTGTACTGCTTTGGTCCCTCGCATGGTGCAGCACAGTGCTAGATAAATACATCCCTATGTAGAGAAGGTGGAGTATGATTAAATCAACACCAGGGAGGAAGACTTTGACTTTTTATCTCAACCAAAAGACATCAGTATCTTCCCTACTCCACCGCAATTTTGAAACTGCAGGATGGCTTACAGTTATGACAAGTGGCGCCACTGTATCCAGTTCCATCGCAAGTGCACTTGAAGCTGTCCCACGTCTGGGTGCATTTGCCACCGTGTTCACAGTGATTGGGCACACACCTGTCAGGACGAGATGCGAAAACAGAAAGAAAAACCTAAATGAGCATCAAGATTTACACATAGCTAAACTGTGAGCTGCCCAAGCAGTGTACCATGTCTTTCTGGTAATTAATCCTTGTTATTTTAGGCAGATTAACAGAATTTATATCTGAACACACAACTACACAAAAGATGATTCATCAAGGCTCTGCTGCAGCCCTTTTACAAACCGCAAAAAAGCGCAATTAGGGTGGAATACATTCACCCGTCATAAATTAAAGTTCTAAGCTACGTACAACTGGTACCTAGCTGTCAAAACAAAAAGAACATCACAAGTCACACCTCCTCCTGCTGTGCAGGTGGTGTCATGCCTCAAGGATTCCAGGACCACAACTGACTGAAAGTTAAAAAAAGAATGCCAGTGAGTTGCTATTTATCTTTCTGTTGCCAGCAATGGGATAAAGTGGAGGCAGACTGTCTGCTGGCTAGGATGGAAATTCCTAATGCTGCATTATTAAAACAAACAATAGGTTTCAGTATAAAAGCTGTAAACATTTTTTCTTCACAGGGGCAAGTGTTGTTCACCTTTCCCCCACCCATCTGCTTTTCTTCTCCAGCTACACTGTTGCTGGAGAGTGGAAAGAATGCAAAAGACAAAATGGAACGGCAAAAAACAAAGTTCTAGCAGAACATATATTTATTGTTTGAAATATCATCTAAATGTGATTTCAAATATTTGAGTTTGGCCAGTTTCCTTTCTATCAAAGATAGTTAAAAATGGGAATTACCATGTACTTTCACCTTTGAAACTATTCAGTTTCTTTTCTTTGACAGGACTTTGAAACATGATTTCAAAGAATCTTTTTTTTTTTCTTATTAAATTCATTACCGTCAGACTCAGTACAGGCTCTGCATTTTTGATCAAGAACTAAAGGAGCTTTCCTTTCATGTTGAGTTGGTCAAATATAATTTATGAACTACACTTTTTTATTTTGACATTAAAAATGAAAATTAGGAAACCCCCTATTAGACAAACAAATTAAAATATTTTCATAAATGCATTACAAATTAGGTCTCTCTATCTCTAAGATAAATCTGATGTTCATCATATTCCTGTGATAGTTAACGATACTCTGTCAAATAACAACCAAGGACAGCTTTCCTTTCCTACCTTGCAGTGTGTTAAAACTGAAAATATCTGGGTGAACTCCCTATAAGCTTATGTTCTCTTATCGCCTCAAGTTCCAATTGACAGCATTGGCATACATGACTCAACAACCGAGAATAACCTATGTCATGATATGCATTAGAGACTTAAATACAGTGTACTCACATTTATAAAAGATTTTTGGTTTTATGCATGCCAGTACAAGTACCTCAGAATATAGACAATATAGATATCTTACATCCTGTATCAGACTGTAGCATTCAAGGCTACCCATTCTTTCTTTTTCAAAAAGATCAGAAAATACTGGCTTGGTTAAAAATAGTGCTCAAAGAAATGCTCTTCTAAAGCAAGAAACAGAGCATGTAAATTATTTTTTTTTTGTCACAGCAAAATACAGTGAAACTACCTGAGGAAATCATCACAGTTCAATAAATTATGTTTTCAACATGGTTTAAGTGAATTCATTTAGTTTTGTAGTGTGGCAGGCTAAATCATAGAATCATAGAATGGTTTAGGTTGGAAAGGACCTTAAAGATCATCGAGTTCCAACCCCCTGCCATGGGCAGGGACACCTCCCACTAGACCAGGTTGCCCAATGAACAGATAAATGAACAGATAGAGCTGATTACTGCTATTCAGCTAATAGGTGATGACTTTCTGTTGTGTTCTCAACATCATAGAAGAAAACCAAGAGCATATATATAATAGCACATTTCTAAACACCCAGACAATTAACAATTTATATGAATCAATAGCAGG